ACCTGTTTGCTCTGTAGGCAAACTGAAGAGGATCCAGCAAGGGACAACAACATATTAGAACAACATAATCATGTGTACAAGTCATTTGTGGTGCGGTGTGACCCTACTGGATGAAATGACTTACCCCGCCAAGGAGTCCAGCAGCACAGCTGTGTTCACAACAAACTGAGGCTGTCGCATTCTATGTGTTTGGACCACACCAGCTCTATGTGCCAGATAATCATTTATGGCGTCCTGATGGTGCGCTGGGAGCGTTTTTGCAGCAGCCTCAATGGCCTTCCGCACATCTTGACTCTTTAACATGGGTAGCTTATACCTGCATTGAGAAATGAAATTAATTGTTATTTATGAAAACCACTGTGACTGATAAGATATAGGAAATCTATATCGATCTATGTGGGCACATACATTTCAAGTAGGCGATTCATGTCTTGTGACACATTGTGAACAGCATCGCCAGTGGATGAAACAAAAAAGTTGTTGCAGACTTTTTCAGGCCGAATGTTTTCAGGCCTAATCTTTTGAAAGTACATCTGAAACCACTGTGGAAATAGGACAGACTGCTATAAACTGTGAAAGTTTAAGATGTTTTTATTATAATTTTTTTTTCTAATACTGGAAAAATATCTTTATGCATTACTTTAAAACAGCACATTTATTGTATCATACTGTAGTCAGAGATTCAGTCTAATAAGATTGGCAAAGCCTTACAGCTTCCTCTCTATTGGTCAAGGCAAATGTTGCTGATGTTTTGCGGCTGCTGACGCCAGTCACAACCCTGCCACCATGCTGTATCCTGGCCACCCACTCTGCATCCTGGAAAACATTGAAGATTTTTAATTTACTAATGCATTTGTCTCAAACTATTACAGCATATCATGAGGGCCAACTTGCTAAAAATAGATAAACTTACCATCAAGCCTTCCACAGCTCTTGGGCACTGATGGTGACGGAAGATTAAGATTGCCTCACAGTAGTAACGGTACATCGTCTTTTCAGAATTCGTGACCTCACTGCCCTTCAGCAGGTTCCCATAGATCTGGAGGAAGTCTGCTTTTGCAGCCTTCAAAATCTTTTGGAAATCTTTAGTGCTGGGAGCGATCACAGTGGTGGTGGTTGTGGTGGCACCTACAGGGTCTAAGACCAGTTCAGAGTCATCAGGCTGGTTCTTGATGAAGAAACCTCGCCGGAGAAGCTCCTTCACCATGCTGACCCGAGAGTGCCTGTCAGGCAGAATCTCACAAAGCTGGTGATAATCCCAGGTCCTGTTATTGCGGATCCACTCCCTGTTGGATGTCTTGGCCTTCTGCAGCTCATCAGATCTTTCCTCTGGCATGCAAGATTTCATACAAACCCTAGCCAGATGAACAGGGAGGTTCTCCTGTGGCTTGTAGCACCGTAAACAGTAC